AATTCGCAACAAGTTACCAAGCTGCTGGAACCGATTTTGTTGTTAAAAAAAAAAAAAAACTATAAATAGAAACAGTAAACGAATTTTCGTCGCATTTTGAGACTCACTCACGCAAAGATACACACACGAATTATGTGTCAAAATTGCCGCCAAAGAAACAAACTTTCTTTATGAGAGATTAGGAAAATTCATACAACAAACTTTGTCACTTAATATCTTTCATTGAAAATTTTTTTGTCTAAGTGAAATTCAACCTTTCAATGAAAGGCAGACAACTTTTTAGACATTGAACATTTCCAAAACAGTAAAGAACTTTTCCTCTATACTTTTGCACACATCGTTTACAAATAAAGAAATTGAAAATTGTGGATATAAAATTTAATCTTTTGTTTCAAACATGTATTTTTGTCGTGATTAAATATCGTTACCATTTGGCCATTTCTTATAATTTATGTTTGTGGATATTGCATATTTTGTTTGCAGCACAATCTTAAATATTCCTTCTAGTTTCACTACATAAATTTATTGGCGACCCCGATGTTTAAATTTATTGGTAACCCGACGTTTTTAAAATTTTTCGTACTCCTACCAAGTTCACTGGCTTACTTCATCGGCACTTGAATTTACAGCCTATCTCGTCAACTTCAGGAACACATTTCCTCTGTCAAATTTTGATCTTTACGATATGCTCAATTACTTCAAAACATTTTAGAATCTTGCCATTACAGTCTCTCTTGCCAAAATTTTTTCGATAATTCCAGTTTTCTTCACTGGACATACATTTTTGGCGCGCAACTCTCTCTGCCCCACCTGTATTTAATATAAAACAATATGGCGGAAACAAGTAACAAGATTGAATTTTCACTCAAGCTAACCTTGCCTGACTTCAGTGCAAATATTCAAACATGGTTTCAACAGGTCAATGATATTTTCACGGCACGTCACATAACATCACAGTCAACGAAATACGCATATGTGATTGAGAAACTTCCTACTGATGTAGTTGCTGAAATATCCAACCTCCTGACGAATATGCCTGCTGATAAACCGTACGACAAGATAAAAGATGCTATATTTAAGCGAACTGGATATTCGGTTGAACATAAATTGAAAGAATTATTCACAAACATTTCACTCGGGAACAATAAACCTTCACAGCTTCCCCGGCGAATGAAAATTCTACTCGGTAATAATTCCATGTCTGACAAAATCCTGAAACAACTTTAGCTAGACAAATTGACACCCCACTGAGGATACTGAATTAGCCAAAATAGCTGAGATTGCAATTCAGAACCCGCTACCCCAGTACTTTCAGCAATTTTTTCCACTACTGCGCCTGCAGACCAGATATCTACACTAAAGTACCAAATTTCTAAGTTGACATTACAAGTTCGAGATATTTCTCAGCAGATGCAGCGAGGGAGAAGTCAATTTCAGCATAAGCAGTACCATGCAACCGGCAGATCCGCTTCCCGCCACCGTCAAAGTAAGTTCGGGCGGGAGTGTGGGTACCATAAACGCTTTGGACAACGAGCATTTAAATGCATTAAACCATGCAGTTTCCCTCAATCTACACATTCGGAAAACGGGTATCCCGTTAGCCATTAAAAGCGGAATTAGCTGCCAACCGCCTATTTTACGTTACTGACCGTAATTCAAAATTCAACTTTTTGGTAGACACTGGTGCATAAGTAAGTGTTATACCACCAACACGGTTTATGTTGCCTGCAACCTCTTATTTGCAACTACAAGCGGCGAACGAAACTAAGATTCAAACCTTCGGAGAAAAAATACTCATTCTGAATATTGTACTACGACGACAGTTTTTCTGAAATTTTGTAGTAGCCCAAGTTGATGTGCCAATACTAGGTGCTGACTTTCTTGCACATTTCGGTCTACGAGTGGATATGGCAACTCACACACTAATTGATAACATTACGTCCTTATCCATTAAGGGTATTCGTACCTTTAAACGAACCTAGGTATTTGTTCTACAACTCCTATTAACGATGATGTTCGTCGACTCTTACACCAGTTTCCGGAGTTATCCACACCCTTTACAGATACATAGCCAGTTCGACATAATGCTGAACATCAAATTACTACTACTGGACCTCCCGTCCATTCCAGGTCGTGTCGTCTTCACCCTGAAAAATATAAATTTGCGAAAGTTGAATTCCAGCGTCTTCTTCAACAGGGAATTATTCGCCCTTCTTCCAAGTCCTTATGCTACTCCCTTGCATATGGTTCCTAAATCTGGAGCTAATGATTGGCGTCCGTGTGGTGACTATCGTTTATTAAATGCTCAAACTACACCGGATAAATATCCTATTCCTCATTTGAGAGATTTTGCAATTGTTCTGCAAGGCACTAAAGTCTTCTCTAACTTGGACTTGCGGAAAGCTTTTCATCAGATTCCCATTGCTAAGCGGGATATTGAAAAAACTGCAGTAACCACTCCATTTGGTCTTTTTGAGTACGTCCGTATGCCTTTCGGGCTTAGAAATGCAGCCCAATGTTTTCAGCGTCTTATTGATGAGGTCTTTCGCGGCTTTGATTACACTTTTGCTTACATAGATGTCGTCTTAATCGCTTCTAAATCACAAGCTGCACATTTACAACACTTACGCGAAGTATTTGAACGACTTCGTCACTTCGGTTTAAAAATCAATTTGGATAAGTGTTTGTTCTCTGTTTCAGAACTAGTGTTCTTAGGTCATACTATTGACAGTACTGGTATTACACCTGCCAATTCTAAAGTCGATGCGATCACCAAATTCTCAGAACATACTACTTTAAAGCAACTACGCAGATTTCTTGGTATGATAAAATATCGCCAATTTATTCCTAATTGTTCTGGAATTTTATTACCTCTGACCAATATGTTAAAAAATCAACAGCGAAAAAACTGTAAAATTTCACTTAATGAAGATCAATCATCAGCTTTCGAACGAGCGAAACGTGCCCTCGCAAATTTTACGAAATTAACATACGTCACTGAACACGGTCCTCACTCTGACCACAGATTCTTCTTCAAACACGGTTGGAGCTGTTTTGCATCAAGTTTATGGTAAACAAAAGAAACCTATCTCCTTCTTTTCTGTTAAACTCAGTTCTACACAGCAGAAGTACAGCACATTCTCGCGTGAATTACTCGCTATTTATTTGTCTATTAAACGTTTTCGACATTTGCTTGAAGGCAGAGAGTTTATCATTTTTACTGACCATAAACCTCTGGTCTATGCCTTACACACTAGGTCGGACAAATGCAATCCGCGAGACATACGATAGACTATATTGCCCAGTATACTATTGATATAAGGTACATTAAGGGTGACAGCAATATTGTCACTGATATCTTGTCACGCACGAATTTAAATTCTGTTAAATTGCATTGCCCGTGAGCAAAAATCGGATAACACATTCGACAAAGTTAAAATCTCAATGTCACTGCTGTTCGAGCAACGTCCGCTCCCTTTCAGCTGTTCGAGCAACGTCCGCTCCTTTTCAGCGACGAGACTATATTTTGCGATTTTTCCACTAAACATCCTCGTCCGTATATTCCACCTACTCTTCGACGTTCTGTTTTCGAGCATTTTCACTCTCTGTCTCACCCGGGACATCAAACTACTATTAGATTAATTCCCGACCGTTTCCCCTGGTTTAATATGTCTGGACCAAGACCTATATTAAATGTCAGAGCTCAAAAATAACTAAGCATACCAAATCACTCCTTGGTACCTTTTTATCACCGGACGGTCGTTTTTCCCACATACATGTTGATTTAGTGGAGCCTCTTCAAAAACTTAACGATTACGAATACATTCTAATTATAGTAGATCGTTTTACAAAATGGCCTGTCGCAGTTCCATTACAATCTACAACTGCTGAAGCTGTTGCTAAAGCAATACTTCGAGATTGGATAGCGAATTTCGGATGTCCTTCCAGTTAATACAACTGATAGGGGACCGCAGTTTCAATCGGCACTTTTTGACGAATTTTTAAAACTGTTAAGAGTAAAACATATCTCTACTACGACATACCAGCCATGTACTAACGGGTTGATAGAGAGATTTCATCGTCAACTTAAGTCTTCATTAATGGCGACTGCTGATAATACCACATGGCTTGAAAGACTGCCTTTAATAATGTTAAAGTTGCGAAACGTCTTAAAGACAGATTCAAATAGTGCAGCATCGGAACTAGTTTATATGTTAAAAAAACAAAAAAAAAACTATAAATAGAAACAGTAAACGAATTTTCGTCGCATTTTGAGACTCACTCACGCAAAGATACACACACGAATTATGTGTCAAAATTGCCGTCAAAGAAACAAACTTTCTTTATGAGAGATTAGGAAAATTCATACAACAAACTTTTTCACTTAATATCTTTCATTGAAAATATTTTTGTCTAAGTGAAATTCAATCTTTCAATGAAAGGCAAACAACTTTTTAGACACTAAACATTTCCGAAACAGTAAAGAACTTTTCCTCTATACTTTTGCACACATCTTTACAAATAAAGAAATTGAAAATTGTGTATATAAAATTTAATCTTTTGTTTCAAACATGTATTTTTGTCGTGATCAAATATCGTTAACATTTAACCATTTCTTATAATTTATGTTTGTGGATACTGCATATTTTGTTTGCAGCACAATCTTAAATATTTACGCATCCTTCTTAGATCCACTACACATGTATGTATTTAGTGTTTGTTGTTGACCGTAAAAAAAGAGAAATGAAAACTGCCGATCCTTTCCACGCAAATATGAACATACAAAATCAAGTTAAAGGCCGATAAGCAAAACAATGCTCATGATTATTAGTTGCACTATAAAATTTACTTGATTTTGTACGTGCATACTTGCGTGTATATGCTTGTTTATATTATTAACATTAAATTATTTTTATTTTTGTTAATATTTTATTAACATTATATTACTTTAATAATTTTCCTTCGCTTGAGAATTATCGTAGAAACAATCGCATACATACTTGTTCTAAATGTTTAAAATTTTCTCGTAGCTGCAACATTTCATTTTCTAAATTTTTCCTCAATTCTATTTTCTCCATTTCACTTTTCTGTTGTTCCTGCAAAAAGAAAAGATATATAATCTAATCAGAATACCTAACAAAGTGCAAAAAAGGACTAAGTCATTTTATTCAACAATTAAAATTTAAATATAACATTAACAGTGAAGAAGAACTTAATTTATTACGATATTCATTAGTGACAAGAAGGATAAATATTTATCTACTTAATTCACAACAAATTTATAAGGAAGAACAGAACACATCCAAGCATTTTTACATGATACGGTTATTTGTCTATGAGGCAAGAACGGCTTTAGCTATCTCCAATACGTTTGACAGGGTTTGGCATGCTGGCCTTCTTCACAATCTCAAGGGCTATGGTGTCTCTGAGAGTCGGATATTTGACAATGCAATCGTTCTTAACAAATCGGGTAATGAAGAACGGGTTGAAAGCTCATGGTTGTAGATCACTTCATATTAATGCGGGGGTCCATCTATCCTTGAGCCTACTTTGTTTCTTATCTTCATCAACGACCTTCTTGGTGGCATTAGTTCTCAATTAGTTTGATGACACAACTATTTACTCCTATCTTAATAGTAAGTCCGATAAAGTAAAACTGGCAGCTTCCCTTCAAATTGACATCGAATCAGTTGTTAACTGAGGCAAGAAATGGCTTGTAAATTTGAACACCTCCAAAATAAAACTGCTATCTTTTAATCATAGAGAACCATTTTGCTCTCCATCAGCATGGCTGATGCTAATCTCATTGTGCCTTCTTGGTCTTACGTTTTCTACTGATATGATGTGGAGTGATTATATTGAATCAATTGGCTAAGAAGGCTGTGTTCTGACAGACAATTTTTATCATCAGAATCCATCATGTACATGTATCAATCTATCATTCTTCCATGCACTGAATATTGCTACCATATCTGGTCTAGTGCTCCAGCTATATATCTCGAAATTTTTAACAAAATCTAAAGAAGTGTCTGTAATGTTATCGGTCCTGACCTGGTATTTTGACTCCAGTCACTTTCATACCGCCGTGATGTGGCTTAAGATGCGGGTACAAGATATTGTCCAGTCTTCCTCCGGAGAGACACTCTGGGCAAGCCGCCTTTCACCTAACCATACACATACTTTCATTTTTTGTGCTGTCTTTATACACGTAAATTTTCTAGTTCTCTTCATTTGTTGCTCTACTATATATATATATATATATATATATATATATATATATATTATGTGTGCGTGTGCATGAAAAATCCTCCACTTGATGATTTGAGTTATTTTGAAAGTAGCAATCTCGTCCGTTATAAAGTGGTAGCAGCTCTTTGATACAAGTCAAACTTGTGATTTTATCTAAAGCTCTGTGAATGAACCAGAAGACAAATATGTTCATTTTTCATAATGAAATATAACAGAATCAGGAAATTCGGATATTTTAGTTCTTGTTGAATATCATTCAAAAAATAGATAACAGACCTCTTGCCGAACTCGTTCTTCTGTTTTTTGCATCTGACATTCAAGTTCTTCTTCAAGTTGCCGGGACAGTCGATCGTAGTGGTCCTTCTCCCTGAAAAAATAAATTAGATTATTTCAGATGGAGATGTTAAAATCTAGATTAATAAAGATAATTAAATATACAGAATGAACGAGAGAGAAAAGTTAAATTGAATAAAAGTTCAAATAGTAAGAATGGAAATAATGAGTTTACGTTGAAATTGAAATATTTGACCTGATTTTTGTGAGCCGAGTAACATCCAGCACTCAGTAAAATAATTTAAATCCCCAAATTATATCTATGTAGAATCAATAAAAAGATTTTAATTGCGATAGCCAATTTCGTATTAATAATAGGGACGACCATTAGGTTCGACATTCCAACCACCTGAAGAAGGCCGGAGCGTACAACGACTGAAATGTTGTGATAAATATGGCAACAAAGATGAGGATCATAGTCCAAACAATGTAAATAATGCTCATCCTCCCATAACAATAAAAATATAGTTTTTGTTTGAGTTTCATTCGTATCGGAAAAGTTGCTTCTTCGTACTTATTCCCATCATCAAATATGACGATTTTGTCATATAAAAAAATAGAAATTTTGTAACTCATTAGGCGCACAATAAAAAGGACTCAGTATGAAATTAAAACAGAAATGTAATGTCATGCTCAAAATATTCTTTCGTGTGCCTAAGTAAAAATTAAGCTAGGTTGAGAAAAATTTCCATGTGAAAGCCAGTTGATTCATTTTTTAAATTTCATTGGTAAAAGGACATAGTTCACGAGTCAACGTTTTTTTTTATTATTCATTTCACTCCAAGCAAGGACCCGCCCTGAGTATGACGATGAACTATACCTGCGTGCAGGGTAAGACGATAAACTATATCTGACATCAAGGCCTTTGAACAGAAGATTTTGAGGAGCGTGGAATACTTCCAGCAACAACGAAAATGAGTAGCATATGTAATTAGAAGGGGAAATAATGATACAATCAAGATGATGACTTTCCACATTGTTTCCATTTAAACATAAGGCTAAAAAGAAATGTCCCATCAATATTAGAAAGAACGTTAACAGTAAACTTGAGAAACCTCTTTCTCTGAAAATCTTTTTAAGTGAAAGATTTTATAAATTTCAACTCTTCGGTCAAGGAATGTCGAATGTTTCCTGTATGGAAATGATTAATCTCAAGATTACAAATGGCAGTAATTATTTTTGACAAATTATTCAGCTCGCATCAACAGCATTGTCATAGATTGAGGACAAATTTAAACAGTTGAGTTCTCAGTTTCATCAAAAATTGACATTACTACATTATTGACATTATCAAATGACATTACCAATTGACATTACCAATGTACGTACCCCTTGAGTACGTACATTGTACTACGATTTAAATCATACTATATATTATTTGGTAAACACAGACAAGGTCCAGCTTGAATTCAATCACCCTAGTCATCATAAACCAGTGAAATTACCTAAACTAATGTTACATGAAGCTTCTTTAAGAAATGTGAATCATAAATAGTGTCTTAAATAATGTTATTGCTTTGAAGTCTATAAAATACCATTGTTGCAAAATTGCATTGTATTCTGAACAATATTAGCAGATATATTTATTTTGAAAAATATAATTGCTATAATTGAAACTTAAATGATAGAAAAGATCACAGAGATATGAAAAAAATTATGTTAGAAAGAAAAACTCGTAAGTTTTATTCTAACTCCGCTCTCAACTCATTTGGAGAACCTCTGCCAGATTCCCCCCTACACACACCTCCCGAGAATGCTCTAGTTCTTTTCTTCGACGAGAAGAACTCCTACCAGGATCAGGTTACCCGGGGGAACGATATGTGGATTTACGTGGACTTCAAGGAGACACTCAAGCTGGTACGCACCAAGTTCACGTCATCTGTGGGCCTCAATGCCACCACCTACAACAAGGTGCTGAACATAATGGTCAAACGCCGCATTGAAAGAATAGACCATGATACGTGCGGTCTCTGCACGTACTCCTTCCAGAAAAACTTACTCCCATAAGAAGAAGAATTTTCAATTGCCTCCATCATGTGGCCTGCTAGATTTAAATCACTGGGAATATGACATCTAAGGTTCGTCAAGAGGGAGACCAACCAGCAGCCCCACATCACTAACGACTAGTTGAAAGCTGCCGTCGTTGCCAACATGAACGAGAACCACTTAATCCGGGCGGTCAGTCGCTTCCGGGATCATTCTCAAATTTAGAGGTGATTTTATTGAATCGTTTTTTCTTCTGTTTTTGTATGTGTGTACCATTTACTTTTTTTTAATATACTGTTTTTTTTTTTGTTACAGAGAGAGAGAGAGAGAGAGTCTGGGAAACACACACACACGTATATTTTTTTAGTAAAATTGGAGTAAATTTGAATAGCGAAATTAAACCAGACCATTTTGTTTACCGATGGGGGAAATCGGATCTAGGGCAGAAGTTGTACCCATTGAATCTGGGTCATCAGGAGACAATGCAAATGGTCGAAATAATTTTTATCGATTAAAAATTGAAATAGAGCCAAGTAAACTAGGAGGAACTTTGGAATTCACATGATTTTGTTTGAAGGAGCTAGAACCCCGTGCGAAGTAGTAGGGCGGAGGGTCAGTTATAATCAGCCGGGTTTATCTATATAAACGCGTAGTTATACTGAAAAAGGCAGACGGGAGAAAATTCTTGAAGAGAGAAGAGAGAATTGGCCCAGGCAAGCGTTGGGAGGAGGAAAGCCACTATAACTTTAAGCCCCGCACAGAAATCTTTATCCGTCCATCGCAAGAGTCATATATCGTTCTGAGACGATTTAACAAGTTAATCACAAACACACACACACACACACACACACACACACACACACACACACACACACTCTCTCTCTCTCTCTCTCTCTCTCTCTCTCTCTAGAATCCAGTGTATGAGTTTTTTGTTTGTTTTTTTTTTTTTAATTTTCTTTTCTGTAACCCGTTTCTCTTCTCTTCTATTCTTTTCTCCTATATAAAAGAGATTAATAATTCAACCATTGAATCGATGTCTGTCCGGCTTTCTGCAGATATTATTTTTTTTTTTTTTTTTTTTTTGCTGCATTCTAAATTTCTTAGCGCAAACTCCCCAGCCGTGTCTACATCTTCAGTCGACCGTGAATGGACGGACATCACTTCTGCTTTCTGGATCAAACAAATCACAACGTGGGCAGGAAGCAGGATTAAACCAGTGGACCGGTCGAATAATCTACGGATGCTCAGGGGACCTATGGCCACTCCCTTAAGTTCGGTTACGACCGAGTAGACACCTCAACCCAGAAAAGTAAGACGCCTGGAGGATTAGGTGCCGGGGCGAAAGTGTTAGATTTATTGATTATATGTTTTCTTTATATTTTAATTTGTTTTCACTTACTCAGCGCATCCTAACAAGGGATCTTGAAAAATTCTCGGGTGACTCTTCCGAAAATCGAGCGAAATGGAAAATGTATTTATTTATATTTACTTATTTATATATTTTATTACTTTTTAAGGACTTCGGTAGAACCGAGAACCTTACAGCATCACATCGAGATACATGAATGTTGTATTTACCTTTGGAATAGTGCTTCAAGTCTTTCTCCATCTCGTTTATAGGCCCGGATGTCATTAATGACGTTGATGATAACAGCTTCTAATTTACTTACAACGTCTGTATTTCCCGTTCCATGTAGAAACTCATAAAGTTCACAGACTTTATCCTGACTATAAAATAAATAAATACATTTTTATTAAAAATAATCATGATCATATAAAGAATTACTTCAAAGTAATTTGGCATTTTTCTTGGTTCCTTTTAAATTTAATTTTCCGTTAACCAAATCAAAAGGATAAAATTATTATTTTTTCTTTTTTGACCAACACTGAAACAAGAAATGAATAAGCTTAAACCAGCAACCAATTCACTAATGTTTAAATAAAAATTATAAGGGAACAATTTTATAATTTGTGATAAGTTATTTTAGAAATAAAATGTTAGGAATAGCTCTACCTTTTTATAGTGTTTATTATCTTTGAACAGAAAGCGTATGTAGATGTAAATATATACATTTGTAAATAAATATGTGTTCTTATTAATTTAAAGATATTTAACTAACTTTGCATATGAAAGTTCTAATTTTATGAAATATTTATGTGGAAAATTATACTATATCAATTTTAACTTTTTTTAAAATTATCATTCATACTAATAGGATTCAGAACACACACAAACAAAATAAATCAGTTCAGACTTGAGAAAAAGAATTGTTGATGCTCACAAAGCAAGAGAAGGATATATAAAGTTATCAAATTGTGACACTATTTAGCTATGGTAATTGGCTAACTAATTAACCATAGAAATTAAAAACGGGAAATACTTAAGGTGAGAAAGAGCTATATCGAAAGATAGACTGAGTGACATTAAAAAGAAGAATTTATTTTATTTCCAAAAAAGATACTTTTCGCAAAAGACAGAAAATCCGTAAGAAAAAGCGAAATTGTGATTCTGTCAAAACTGATTAATGTCATGATAAGAGGGGATGTCGCGCCAAAAGAAACAGAATTCAGATAGAAAAACAAAGCCAGCTGGCGCATGCGGCCATGGAGAATTTCGGCTTGAGGCCACCCTGGAGAATAGATATTAGTTATCTTTCAGAGATATCATTTAATTTTAATTCCTGGTTTCAGCGAAGAAAGCCATCTGGTATATGCACGAATCTTGGCACGAGAAGGAAAATCGAAAAGGGAATCATTATTATTGCTTATTCAAACTGTTGACGTCAGACATAGCGGCTCGAAAATGAGCATCTGGTGATAAGAGAATTTTAAGGCATGAGAAAAATAAAGAATCTAATTATCAGGTAAACACGACCACTCAGTTTAAAGTTGACTAGCGGAGGAATCAGGTGTCGGGTTTTGACAATGATTGATGAGACGGTAGAGGTCCGGGCTAAGTGGATTTGGGTGTCCCCAAAATTAAGATGTGATAAGAATTAGTTGACAATCTGGGATTTGTAAATGTTTTGCCCGAAGGAAAAGGAAAAAGAAAAAAAAGGATTTTGTAAACAAAATTCTGGAATAATTCTAAGAGGGCCAGTCTAGCCACACTCACACTGCAGAGAGATCATTGGCCAAGTGGTAGCATGGGTGATAGGCGGAGGTGAATGCATGAGAAAGACGGAGAAGTTGTTAACAACCACTGAGGGGATTGGTATAAGATACCAATGTGAGAGAGGAAGAGTCTAGGAGGATAACTCTTCTCCGATCTTCCATCACGGACGAGGGAGGAACCCCCGAAGTGGAAAGTGATTAATCTTCCAAAAATGGGAAGTAATTAATTTTTCTGGCCTAAGAACAAAAGAGAATTCTTGTTGGGAATTGAGAATTATCGAGAATCCAAACCACGGGTTCTGGTCGGTGTCCATATTGTTGTGGACCCAGAATAGGTCCGAAAGAAAACTCGAACTCAGCAATTTAGTGAAAACATATTATTAACAAAAAGAACGAATACAAAAGTGTTGCACGTCTGACTGGCGGCAAAGTACAGTAGTCAACTCGTCAACTGTAGACATCTCACTTGAGAGGCATAATCTCCCTGTATATATAGTAATAGGACGAGTCCATTTAGTCCATAATGGTAGGTCGCATAACACCCCCTCCCAAGCCTTTAACTCCGCCGGAGTCTCAATATCGTCTCCTTTTTGGATTGATGACGAGAGGGTCCGTGGACTTCCGCTTTCTTTTAGATCGTCGCGGTTCTGGAGCTGCTTGGGGTATTTGAATGTCGAAGATGTCGTAAATGGTATCCATAACTACTACTTCTTCTTTTTGATGAGTACTGTTGCAGTCATCCAACAGTCGTTTCCTGATTTGATTCAGGTGTCTCTTATGAGAGAATCGAGGGCCTTGGATTATGTAGACCATATTTCCAATCCTCTTTTCTATCGTACCAGGTTCCCAGAAAGATGTGTTATTTTTAAACATCTTGAAGAATACTTTTCCCCCTGGGCTGTATTTTTTCCTTGGTATAATAGAGGTCGGACCTTATTTTGTTTGTTTGGGCAGCAATTTATCAAAAACGGATCTTACTTTACGCAAAAACATTATTTATGCCGGAGATGGTGAAGCTGGCGCGTTAACATTTGGCGTGATCCTGTAAACTTGTAAAAACTGCTGCAGGGCCTTTTCCTTTGAGGTGCCGCAAGCTTTTTTCAGGGCTCTTTTTAGGGTGTCTACAAAGCGTTCTGCTTGACCATTCGACCTCGGCCAGTATACGTAGCTGCGCATTAGACTTTTCATCCTATTTTTCCCCGGATGCCCAATGGGAAAATCCTTCTGGATTCTCTTCTGTAGGTTTTTTGGAATGACGATTCTCTCGCTGTATAGGAGTACCTCGTCACATAGGAAAAAACTGTTTGATATGTGTTGGTCCTTCTCTGAAATTTTTGTTTTAATGAATTCATCATTGCGGGCTTTATGTTTTATTTCTTGTAGCTTCACAGGAAGTTCTCTTATAGTGCTACACAATAAAGTTTTTATTTCCCCCCTCCGTTCGTAGTGAAGCGATCACAGGATCTTCTAAGGGTTCCCTATGTCTTGAAACCAGTATAGAAAGTTCGTCTGCGTGACAGATTTTTTTCGAGGGGAGGTATTCCAACTTGTTGTAATTTAGGAGAATTATCCCCCACCTCAGCAGTCTGTTTGTCGTATAACCGGGTAATCCATTTTTTTGATCCGAAAATACTGAGTAGCGGTTTATGGTCCGTTTGTAATGTGAAAAATCTTCTGTGTATGTAACGGTGAAACTTCGTGACTGCGAATATGATTGCTAATGCTTCTTTTTCTATTTGAGAATAGTTCTTTTCCTTGATGCATGAGCTATGGGCTTTTGAGTTCCATCTGGCATTTTATGAAGGATGCACGCTCCTATTCCATGCGAGCTTGCGTCGCTAGCAACTATGATCTCGAGGTTCGGGTCGTAGTGCGTAAGGAATAAATCCGATGTTAGGACTTTGATAGTTTTCTCGAATGCCTCCAGGCATTTGGTTGTCCATTCCCAAACCTTATCTTTTCTTAAAAGCTCATATCAGCTCATGCATATTTGGGATAAACGCTTGGTAGTAATTTGCTAACCCCAAAAAGCTCTGTAGTGCTGTGACGTTTTCAGGAGCCGGCATGTCTTTAATTGCAGTGGCCCTTTCCTACGGCTGATGTGACACAAATATTTGATTTCTTTCATGAAGAAGTCACATTTGCCTTCCTTTATTTTGAAGCCATATTCTTGTATTCGTGAAAATACTTTGTGGATGTGTTCCCGGTGTTCCTAGATTTTATTGTTTATCAAGATATCGTCTAGATAAGCCATTGAAAAGTCAAGTCCACCCAGCATGGTGTTCATAACCTGCTGAAAAATGGCTGGTGCGACTTTGACTCCAAATGCAAGCCTTTTAAATTTGTATAAGCCTCTATGTGTATTTATACTTAGTAATTTTGAGCTTTCTTCCTCAACGGATATCTGGAGATAAGCTTCGCTGAGATAGATTTTCGAAAAGAACTTGCCTCCATTAAGTTCTTCTTTACATACACTACTGGTGCTGCCCATTGGCTATATTCCACTTTAGATAAAATGCCAATCTCTACAAGTCTGTCTAATTCCTTGTCGGTTTCCTCTAACGAGGCGAAAAGCACATTCCTTTTTATCTTTAATATTGGTTGAGTGTTCTCTTTTAGCTCAAATTTTGCTGACATCTTCTTGCATCTACCAAGGCCAGACGAAAAGACCTCGGGAAAGGTTTCTTTTAATTCATTTCTGAGTTTATCTGACTCGGTCGTCAGATTTTCTATTTTCTGACAAAAAGTATTAATTGGCAAATCCCACAGATTGAACTGTGCCAAATAGATTGTCTGTGTTTTTAACACGAACATTTTCAATTTTTTGGTTGTTCCGTTCAAAGTAACATTCGCGATAATTTCACCCTCAAACTTAATTTTTTTACCGGTCACCGACCTAGCTATTTTGCTGGTGTTTAGCATAGTTGGTTTATTTAACCTTTTCCAAGTATGTAGATTGATTATTGATAAATCAGACCCGGCGTCTTATTGTAACCTGACTTTTTTATTCAGTATTTCTGCCTACACATACTTTCTTATATTTTTTACGTTCAGTTTGTCTGTTTTTGTGGTTCTAATCCGGCTTTTTCCTCCTTTATTAGCTCTGCAATTAGAACTCTTGTGCCCAACTTTATTACAAGTTAGACAGGTTTTAAACCGATATTGGCAATGAAGTGCTCCACAACGGTAACATGGACTAGGCAGTAAATTTTTCTGTTTTTCATTGAGTTGACTTTTTTTCTTAGGAGAGTGAAAATAATCTTTTTTGGTTTGACTTGTTTTTAAAGGTTAGGAAAAATGTGGTTTTTGATGTATTTTTCTTATGTGTTCAACGCCTGACTCTTCAATGTCTCTAGAATCATTTTTTACACTTATATATTTTTGGCAGTCCTCGGCTATATTTTGTAAAGTTAAATTTGGTTCTCCCTCTAACCTGGTTAGGACTTTACGTCTAATTTCTGTATCTTCCGTTGATACAACTCCTTGTACGAATATTAGGCATTTTAAATTGTCTGCGGTAAGTTCGGCCAATTTAAAATCGTCACAATGTTTGTTAACTACCGATGCGAACGTCGAGTAACGTTCGCTGTCTTTCTTAGTTAGGTTTAAACACT